GTCCGCCGCACATGTACAGGTTACACAATTACATGAGGGTTGGTGTCGGCTCGCGTAATGTTACACGCGTTAATGTTAATCGTTTCCTCTGCCGGTTGCGATAGTTCCTTTTCTGTTTCCGTCTCAGGGCCTTCAGATTCAAGAGCTGCAGCAAGAGAGGTTGAATCTTCACAGGGACATTCACGCCATGGCGAAACAGTTGGGACTCAGCGTGGAGAATTTCAAGAATCTCGAGATTGCCGACGGCGTGCCGCTGTTTCCTGTCACTCCACACTCCAAAGGCTATCCCGGTGACACGGAAATATTAGGTGAAATTTGAATATGACTTGCACGATCTATTTCGAGCGCGAATGATTCGCTTGATCAAAGTTCGTGTCGGAATTATAGAACAGAGGACAGTGCCGCACGAGTCTTGAAAGAACGTTATCACCAGTCAGGTTTCCTCTCAGCCCGCAATCGTAAAACGGTGAATTGAAACAGGCAAGAGTTTGTTTTAATCAGCCACTGAATTAAAACGTGAAACTCGGACGAATACTAGTTCCACTGAGCTTCGCGAGAATCCCGAGGTCGTGAAATTTCCACGAAGATACGTGGATGGTTTAAACGACGTCGTTAAGATAAATTCAACCTGAACGTCGCGGAAAGGTTTCGTGCCCTCGGGAATATTTCACGAGGCACGGGTCGTCGATTTCAAGAACAATCGCGTTTCCCTGGATGTGCGTTATTAATAGAACCATTTAGGCCGATTAGCCCGCGCGAATTGATCGCCGGACAGGGCGAATCGTGGCGTCGCAGAAACGAGCCGCGACACGATTCGTTTGAGCCCATCGGATGGAACGATCAGGACTTCGATCATGATTCCACTCATTTCCATTTTCCTGCGCTTGCAGACCTACTCGCGTCTAATACGCGAGCAGCATCGAATGCTTCGGTTTGATATCCGTGCCCGTGTTCACGATTTTACAATTTTAAATACGCTAATGGAACCGTAGATTCACACTTTTATCATCATTCATCATGCATAATTAACAAGTTTTGTACGACATGCTTCTGATGAATCTGTTTGAATAACACCTAGAAGCGATAGATAATTTTAAAAGTAATAGAATTTTAAAATACTAACGTCGTGCCAAGTTCCAAGGATTTAGGAAATTTTTGAATTTAACTTTCGATGACTGGACTACTTTTACTGTAAACTTTTGCGAGCCTAATGCCTAAGTCCGCGTGCTTTGATCAATTAACAAAATTAATCAAGCTTAAATTGCCTGGGTTTTACAACAAAATTGTACTCTCTTTGTCCGGAAAGAAAGACCAGGTGAAATAATCTTTTAACGAGTATCTAACTTTTGCAGACGATATAATAAAAAAACTTTTGAAGATATGAATCTCCCACGAAGTATTGACAAAATGTTTCTTTTCGACCAGGTGTTTCGGCAGGACTTCGTTCGTTCAAGCCGGCAACCAGTGACGAAGTGATTCCCTGGGACTTTTTATCGAGGTCTGAGTACAGCCTGGCCGACTCAAATCCTAGGAGAAGAATTCATAGCGACGTAAAGGAGGGTCTGGAGGACATTACGAGAGAAGTGATGACCTCTATAAACGCCTGTTCACGGCAGCGTGGCCGGATCGTCGAGGAAAGGTCGACTCTGTACGGATACAGGCGAGTGGATTCCTACGGCGCGGACACTATACTGGATCTTCTTTTGGTCTATCGGAAGTACAGGGGCCGAAAGGTTACGTTGCCCGTCAGAAGGCACGTGTACCTTCACCAACACTTCACAGGTACCCTTTTACATCTCAACCGAACGCGTTCTCCCCGTCGTTCTTTCAAAAAAAAAAAAAAAAAAAAAAAAATAGAAACGACTTTTCGAAAGACGCGTGTAAATTTTCCGCTTGCAGGGCTGGAGATACGAGAAACGGTGAACGGAGAGGAGGTGGACGAGGCACGAAAAGACCAACGAAACGACAAGTCCTTACAGAATATATTCCGCGGTGGATTTTTGAACCTGAACTTCAACTTCGAGCAGGAGGATCCAGTTACTAGCAAGATCATTCACTTCGTTCTACCTTTGTCCGGGAAATACGACGTTTTCAAGAGGTTTCTACGAAACTACGAGGAGATCTGTTTGACGAGCGGAGAGAGGACCACGCTCTCGGTCATTCTCTATCGTCACAAAACCGAAGATTCGTTCGATCGAACGACAGACTCGATCGAGCGACTGAAATACAAGTACCGTAGCGCCAATATCGATGTCGTCCCTGCCGCCGGTACGTTCTCTCGAGCCAACGCTCTGAATATCGGTGCGTCGAGACTGAAAGACAACGATCTGATGTTCTTCGTCGACGTCGACATCGCGTTTACCGAATCGGCGCTCCACAGAATTCGAGCCAATACTCTTCTAGGCAGACAGATATATTTCCCGGTGGTGTTTAGCCAGTACAATCCAAAGATCGTTCGTGGAGACAACAGAGGAGGGAGCATGTTCGTCGTAGATGAAACGTCGGGATATTGGAGGCAATTTGGATTCGGTATCGTCTCCCTGTACAAACAGGAGTACAAAACCGTAGGTGGTTTCGACTTGTCCATTCAAGGGTGGGGCAAAGAGGACGTGGACTTTTACGAGAAGGTGGTGAAATCGAATGTGAAGATCTTCAGAGCGGCTGACAGGGATCTGGTTCATGTTTACCACGACGTCGAGTGCAGTAAAGATCTTCCAGAGACACAGTGGTCCATGTGCATGGGAACCAAGGCCGACACGTTCGCCGGGACAGAGGCGTTAGCGAAAATGATCTACGAAAATCCAGAGATACTGAGATTTGCCAAAGCGAGGAGGGCGAACTTGACGCGCGCAGCGGGTACCAAAGGCTGAAGATGACTGCCTTATCTCGGTTGTTAAGGTAGAAATTGCGGTTTCGCAACGTGGTGCCAGAACGTTTCATATAGATAGGATATATTTTGTACATACGCGCTACGATCAAGTGTACTTCGCGTGCACGTAAGTTAGCACCGAACTGATATTTAACGATAACTGACGGCGAATTCACCAAAGTCTCTGCCCTAGTGGGATTACCATAATGATCACATTTGCTGGCTGCATTGATAAAACAGATTCATAAACTTTCGAGATTAATCGAACGAAATAGAGATGACGTATTTATGCAATGAAAATTGTTCAACGCTCGGTTCATACGTGTAAGAGATTATGTTATCTTCGTTGATGTGTGTTACGTATAGAAATCTGCCATTGATACAGAGAGTATTGAGGAGTGTCAAAGAAGAAAAGGAAGACTTTATGTCCGTGACATTTTGTCATATCGGCTATTAATTAATTGGAATCCTGGCGTTACTTATGGTTATAAATGCGACGTATCGCTTTGGTTGCTATTAGTATATAACACGCGCAGAATAGTATTTTTTTACAAATTAAAAGGTTATCACACTGTATCGTTTTCTTTTCTTCTGCTTTTCATCAAATCGATGTAAAAATCGCTGCGTTCATTTCGTAGATAAGTTGACTTAAGGTGATCCAAGATGCCAATACTCTCGAGTATGTAGCGTAACGTTACTCCCGAACGAGTTTTATAAGTACATGTGATATTATTGTGCCTTGTGAATATAGATTTATTATTTGTGAAAACTTTACATACTGCCCGTTTTATTTGATTAATTGTAAAAAGGAATGATCCTAGCAAGTTCTGCAACTTGCGCAACCGTTTTACGCAATTGGTTAAGATGCTTCGTTTAAATCGGACTCTAAATAAAATTTTCTCTATTAAATAATCGTGTTACGTTAATCGCTGCACTTTGATAAAGAAAAATTCACTCTTATCGAGTCTTTTGCCCTCTTATCAGTCCAGATTCTATATTTCCCCATTCCTGGAAAGCAACATTTCCGACACTGCCTATATTTTTCGCCAGAGCTGGAAAGTTTCTTCAACTTATAAGGTTCCACTTCAATGTCCCTTTAAGGATCGTGACGAAATCACAATTCCAATTAGTCGAACGTTGCAATTAATCGATATCCCGTGTATCTTTCCCCGATATCTTCCATTCTTTCCATTTCTGATCATCTAGAATCATTGAATGCCCATTTCAAGTAATTCTTTGCCAATCCTTCTAGCATAGAATGCTTGTACCATAGATTCGTATCCATCAAATTCTCGAAGTATGTACAGAATAAGGTATAATAATTTTTTCACAGATGAAGAATTTTCTAATTGCGAGATTTCAACATCATTCTTGTTTAGTTAAATCATTTGCTTTGCTTTCCTTCTATTTTCTGCGATAAAGCAGAGAGAGAATTTTGGCGATTTCGGTGACTCTCAATACGAGGTCAAGTAAGAAACAAATCTTACGTTTTATTTATATAAGTTTCATGTTTCAATTTTATATGGATAAGATTAAAAAACAATTTTAACAGAGATTTGTTTTATCTGTTAAAAATTATAATTATGAGTACTCTATATTGAATATTTTATACGTTTATATGCGTATATCCCATGCTCTTTTTCACTCTTAAATTTTACATAATCAAGCACAGAATTCCACAGATTCTTTTCTTGCTTGTAAATACCATTTGCTATTTACCGACGAGATAACTGCTACTACTTACAGACGAGTAAATTTGCATAATACGCATCAGTGGTCTGTCAAAAAATCCATACCGGTTTTAATAGCCCAAGTGTTGAATGTCGTATCAAACATTCCGCTTCCAAAGTTGTTTATTTGCTAACATATCACACCTATTTTTATATATACATACATACATAATCTTATCAATTCTTCGCAATATCAATCAAGTGCTTCTTACGATGCAATTAAGTTAAATATAAAAAAAGAAAAAGAAAGAATCAAAGATACCACCTATCATCCAAAAAAAGAAAAAAAAGAAACGAAATAAAACGAAGAAAAGTGACGAGCCTATCGCGCGAATTTATCGAAAGCAAACTGTTCGCCAAAGTACAATAGAATCGTAGAACGGAGAACAAAAACATCGACGCGCAACGCGTTCTTTCCGGCCACGCGGCGCTTAGGAAATTATAATTTATCATTCGTACACAAGGTCATTGTATATCGTTCGGCGGCACAGCACGACAGACAACCGGTGAGGCGAGTCGCGTGATATTTAAGCGTGAATCGCAGTAGCGTTGCATCACATACGTAGATCAGTGTCGAAGCGTCGGTCAACCCTTCGTCTGTTTTGATCGGTCGACGATAGTCATCGATAGACAGACAGATGAATCGGAGGATCAGGAGGATCTGCGTGATCCTGTCCCTTCTGGCTGTTCTGATAGACAGCCGGACAGAGGGGAGAATCCTAACGGAGTGCGAGGCTGTGCAGGAGTTGCAGCGAGCCAAAGTTCAGAGGACCTTGATCAGCAACTGGGTCTGCCTGATGCAGAGCGAGAGCGGGATGAACACGCGATTGGTCACCGGCCCGAAGACCGCCTCTAGCTTCAGTTTCGGCATCTTCCAGATTAACAGCGCGAAATGGTGTTCCAGAGGGCACAGCGGCGGCATATGCAACAAGCGTTGCGAGGACTTCGCGGACGACGACATCCAAGACGATATCGTCTGCGCCAATAAGATTCAGAGTATGGAGGGCTTCAAGGCGTGGAACGGCTGGATGAAGAAATGCAAGAACAAACCTTTGCCAAATATCGGTAACTGCAAACGACGCCGAAGACGACGAAGAATACGACGATGAGAATTACAAGATTATGCACTGATGTGATAAAATTACGGTAGAACTTTGTTTATCTGTTCCGGTAAGGATAATAGCGTTTTCTATATTTTAGTTCTATATTCTAGAGATAGTTGACGAGGACCAGAGAAACTGATCGATTGTACATATGTCCGAGGGTTAACGCTAACTGATGCGGATAAACGAAGTTCTGCCGTACTGTTATACTGCGTCGCTGAGGTTATTGAACTATTAGGTGTTGGTTCTGTTATGAATATATGTACATATACTGTGTATATAGTCTACACGATGCAAGATGTTATTTTTCACCATTAATTGACGACTGATTGCGTAGATAGAACAATAAAGTTTTATAATGACTGCGAGTGCTGGTTCGATGTTTGGTTGCGAATAGGATCATAGGTCACGTTAGTGCATCATCGCTCACGAGTATCCGGTCATTCTGATTCACTTGGGGTCAGAGTGAATGTGAATTTCAACAGAGAGTTAATGGACATTTCGTTGATAACAGCTGCGAATTTATATTACGTGTACTTAATAACACATATGTCTGTGAATTCATGAAATAAAGTATATATCTACTCGCGTATGTATTTGTGAAAGAATGAATTTCTCTATAATCGTAAATTAAGTCTGTTTTGTACGTCTTCGTTATTATAGACTAGATTAAACATCCATGATCTCTTAATTACTCCGATAATTCCCCAACCGCATAAAAATAATAGCAGACGTCGTTTAGCACTCAAATATTATTGCGCGTTTTATCTCAGCATTGTGCGGTAGGAACAATTATTGTTGGCTGGAATATTTTTATCGGCGAATTCTCGGAACGCAATATATAATCAGATAACGCAGTGAGAATTTCCACGAACATGTCAGATTTATGAAGCGCGATTACTTAACAAACTACAATATCAAACGTGATTTGTTAATCGTCGTTTTGAAGCAGACACGGGCAAGCATCGTTAATTGAAAACAACTCGAGAATAATTTTGGTATTCATCCGGCGACGATGGACAATGTTGCACAAACCGCGAAAGGATGCCTCCCAAATATGAATACAAATCGGCTGGAATTGGGCCAGTAATGACGCAAGAGATCGGCATGATCTTTAAACGCCGCTGCTCCACTTGGCAGACCGTATCAATCGAAATAAAATAGTTTTAGAAATTCCGACTATTAGAATTACAAAACCTATCGTGACACGACTGGACAAATCCCCTTCCTCGATTTCATTCCCATTCGTTCAGGGGAAAGTATCGCGATGTTTACTTTTTCAGAAATGTCGAAGCGACGCGGTAAATAGCCACGTACGACATTGCGAAATTTTCACAAATATTTGCCAGTGATACGATCTCCGTTGAATTCTAAATATTGTATATGATGTTTGTATGAAAATGAAAATTAGGAAGTCAAACTCGTACTGTACCGTGCAAAAATCTTAAATCTTATTTTTGGAGTGTCCAGTAATCTGTCCAGTATTTTTTCAGGAAATATTTTCTCTTTGTGACGTGCAGCTTTTTTTGGACCCAGAATGATGCGATAAAAAATGTGTAAGAATAATTTAGAATGAACCGTGAGAAGGAAAGAAATCAAAAGGATGACTAAATTATCTGATGAGAAGATTTCTTCTTTTAAGAACTTGCGTCAATAAATATTTTTCAGCAAATTATCAACAACTCTCGTATTAAATATCTCATACGAAGTAACAGATTCGGACTGACATCAATTATTTTCGTAGTCGATCGATTAAAAATAAAATATCGCAGTAATTTGATACGTTACAAGTTACGATTCGCCATAAACCACGTAGCCGCGGGTCAAAGCGTAAAATATAATTATAGACTCGGAATAATCCGAGATATCTGATCGAAAACCATGCGTGTAATTCAAAAATAGATCGAGCGAACGTTATATCGAAATTGTGAACCATCCAAATTGCAGAATTGCGCAACCGATACTCATGAAAATGTCAAGTACACGTTGATTATAGATACGCGAGTAAATACATTCTTACACGATTAAAAAAAAAAAAACACCTTGGGAAAGAATGCTCTCTTGGAGGATCGGCATTGGTTCGTCTTTCCGCGTTTCTCTTTTTCTCCTTAAAATCGACCGTTACCTTCTGTTCGAGCCTGAGATTTACACGATACGTCCCGAGGAAAACGATAGCCAATCGTTTACGATAGCCAAACAATTATGCAACAAATTCATAGATCTCTCGCGGAATTTTCGCGAGGAGAGAAGAAAGGTAAATTAACTTTCGATCTCAATTACATGAAATCGCGCATATCGGTGCGAATCTTTTTCAAACTGGAGGTTACTTTTCAATGTTAGGAAGTTACAACTGATTGCGCGATACACAGATTGCAATGTATTCTACAGCTACAGTCACTAGGAAAAGGAAATTCTGATTTCAATCATAAGAATCTTCAGTATGAATTGCGATCGCCAAAGAAAGGAGATTATCTTTTCTTGACTTCGTCAATCGTCTTCCTGACATCGTAATTCAAACTTCCTCGTTACTGGCGCCATCGCGCCAGAGAAGAGAAAATTTCGTTCACCGTTGTAGGAACGTTCGAACGCGAATCGCAACGAAATGCCTCGATATCACAGGCAAACGTAATAGCGCTGTGTACTAACGCAGCGTGTCGGAAATTGATTTCGCTTGTAGAGGTTAAACGACACGAGCTGTACGCTTAGAGAAATCTGACGATGGCTCGCCACGGGAGACACCCGTTAGAATTTCAATCAGAGTGACGTAGCGTCGATCTAAAGTCTACGCCTTTCCAGGCAAATATCGCCGGTTTACCGACAGAGGAGGCGTACTTGGCTAGTCCAAGATGCGCACACCGTGATCCACGTAAGTGTACATACGTAAGCGCGTTTTACCGTAGACACCGAGGTGAGTGTGCATGCACCTTTCACTAGCGGAAGTGAACAACTGAGACAAACGCGTGAGAGCGACCCGGGTCATCGTTGCTTCGTTCTTTTTTTTTTTTTTTTTTTTACGACCGGTAGCCTGCCCTATCTCGCCGTTGATCAGTCACGAACCATTGACTCCGTACAATCTCGGATAATTATCGATTCATTGACGAACTCGAAAGACATGCAACTTGCCCTCGCGTTTGCGTTACGAATTTCTGTGGAAGCTGCGTGCTGCATTAATGAACGTTCATTGAGAGCCAGAATCGCGGAGGAAACTTGTACTTAGATCGATCATCAGTTATTAGTTATTAGTTACAAGCACGTTGAAATCTCGTGGGCTTGCGTAACTAGTTTGACAATGGCTGCGAGTTATCGATGCACCGCAAGTTGAAGTGAGAACCGTAAGTTGATAAGTAACTGTTGACAGTTACGTTTATCGACACGCGTTTGGGGCAAAAAGGAGGAAAAATCATCAGTGAAAAACTGGGATACGAGATGTACAAAGTGAGCGTAACCGTGAGAACAGGCGTAATCGCAAAGCGGTAAATCATGCAACGCGTTCGTAGGAGACGTCAGACAGATGCAATAAACTCGTTGCACGTGTCACATTTCTCCGTTAGATTACTGTTGAATGAACGATACATGCTCGATGAATATTAACGAGCTGTTTTGTTGGAACTCAACGCGCGACATTCGAGAATGAGATGTATACGTTCATAAATTAGAGGAACAGTGAAGACACGTCTCGCGCAATGGACACAATTTTCGAGTGGACAACATGGAAAAAATTTCGTAAGGCTGTTTGTCTGCGAATTGTCAGTATTTCTGCTATCGTGACTTTCTACGCAATTTGCGCGAGGATACGAGCCATTTTCTACGGCGATTCACCGTTCTATCAGGTAGATAGAAACGCGGTGAATAATCATGAAAGCTGCATGTACACAGTGTGGAAACGTAGGCGAAAATAATTTACTGGATATCGATGCGAGTCACTGCAGATTAACCCTTTGCAATCGAGCGGCGACATTTGAAATTTTCCTTCACGTTCCTTGGTGTCCATCCTTTCTAGATTATTAGTCTCTGCGTTTCATTTTCGTTCAACAGTTATCTAACACTTTAGCTTTTGGATTGCTAAAATGAGAAAACCAGATAGAAATATTATTCACCAGAATGGAAATACCATTCACTACGAATGATCATTAAATTACATATTTATGCTTTTGTACAAAATATCTGCAATATGCAAAGATTTATAAAATATCCAAAGTGGGATATTCGTAACAATTTTTGATTGACGAAACGACTTCGACTTAATCTCCAATTTCTCCAACCGTACCCATAGAAATATAAATTTCCATAAAAAGGAAAAAAGTGTAGCAATAACGAAGAGGTATCTACGACACATTAACGAGAGGATCCGCGGCATTGTTGGAAACACGGCCAATTACAAATGTTCCTTTCCATCTCCAACACGTTCCAATTACCACGGTAAATTCCGATTGATTAACAGAATTCGTTTCGCGTCGTGTTTCCGCGAACCTAACAATTTTCGATGGTTCGCACGGAACAGGAGGTCGAGTTCTCAGTGGGTTCTCAGGACGTTTCGTGATCTATCGGAGACTCCACAGGAAGAAGGAAGTGCGCGCGGCGGGATCGATCGCGCGCGGTAAACGAGCCCGAATAACGGTGAACCATGGCGCGCGAGATGAGCGTGCTGGTGAAACTCGAGCGTTGTTCGAGCGACCTCTGCAAAGGTCGCTGTTCCATGGATTCTTCGAAGAAAGTGATCCGACAAAGAGCGAGCAGAAGCGACCCGGTAATTGCATTGGATCCTCCACGATCCTCCTCTTTTTGCCGTCATTATCGAACGCTTCCCTCATGATCGTTTCTTCATTTCTGTTCGGTTACCCAGCGCGGATCGTTTCGTCTTGATTGATACTCGGAATTTCAAATTAGTTGGCCGGCGCGCGCTTATAAAATGAAGTAGCGATTCGGCGAATAAATTTCATGATTCTACATCTTCTCGCAAGAGCGTCTTGGAACATAAAATTTTAAATCACGTCGTAACTCTGCTAAGCAATGATGGTGCCACGATAGACGAAATTTACAATTTAAATTTAACGTTTAATGTGACAAGATCAAGTGTCTATAAAATTTTCATTAATTATTTAACACGATTGATAAGAATTATGGTACCTCTTCCAAATTGAATTCGATCGTTACGACCTTGCTGTCGAGCAATCGTTCAAATATCGTATAATAAATACAACGCACAAAAATAAAAGTGAACATAAATTTCTGCCACTTTCGAATTGATTTTTTTTTTTTTTCATCGTCTTGTTATTGTTATTATACCTTGCGCTCCGCACGTGATTCAAACGAAGCAACATTTATTGACTTTTACAGACCTCCTCGACAATGTTTCTCAACCGTTCATCGAGTAATTCGGTAATCACCCGTGGTTACATAAACGAAAGGAGAAGAGAATGACTAATTAAAATGACTGCGAATTACGTGACACAAAGGTGGTAAAAGTATAGCGGGCACAGAGGGAAAGAAAAGATGGCGGAGGAAGCATTTTAATGCCTGGACGTTACGCCGTGCCAAATAAGTATTTTGAGCCGGAAAGGAAAGCGGCGAGATTAAAACGGTGCCAAGCTGATTAGAAAGAAGCGAAAGGAGCGAAACAACAAACTCGCGTAGAGTGCTTAACACTTTTGCGGCGGTTAATAGTGGATTTCTTAAATTCGCGAAACAGTG